TATACACAATACGTTGTACAGCGCGATGGACGCGGCGGTGGGATGATCAGGACGCTGATATTTGCCGTTGCCGGGCAGGAAGTAGGCAGAGAAGGATGGGACTCGGTCTGAGGGCTCATGGATCCGTCTCGTGGCGCAGAGATATATCGCACAGAAACAAAAACAAAACAAGAAAAAGAAATACAGAATGTAAAGCGGCGCATTAGGTAGATAATGGCACGGAAAATATTCCGGGAGCGGGATAGAAAATGGTTCTCTTATCGATGCGTCTCTCTGTAATCATTCTTCACCAGCCGGGATGGAGAACATATTCAGCCTCTGAAATTGTCGGTTCTGCATGAAAAGGGAATGATAGGAATGGATTTTTACCAGGTCCGCGTTATGGGGGACGGCGGCAGAGATCCGCCTGTTTTTCTCAGCAGTACAACCCGCCAGCTTCATGGCTTTGAGATGTATAAACTGTAGGGCTGGTTTTGGGGGCTCGTTCACATTAGCCGTTCAGGGGGGTGGTAAAACCCTGTGGCTGAGACACATTTTTTTAACCTCTTGATCCATGTTGATGAGGACAAGGGCCAACATGTTGTTGAGGACAAGGGGCGCTTCCCCACAACCCAGGCTGGCGGTTGTGGCGGTCTGGGAGTGGGGGGGGGGGTATCAGATTCTGGAAACCCCCTTTATAATAAAATAACAGAAAATAGAAAAACCAAGAAACGTCTTTCGTCAATCCATCAATGACCGGGTGCACACAATCTATCCGAACGGTACCACGAGCCGAAGGACAGCTCCCTGAACAGTCCTCAACCATATAAAGGAAGACGATGATTTACGAAGGACAAGGGTCTCTTCCCTACAACCCTGGCTGCTGGTTGTGGGGGTCTGGGGGGTGGGAGGGGGAGGGGCTTATCGGATTCTGGAAGCCCCCTTTATAATAAAACAACAAAAAATAAAAAACCCAAGAAACTTCCTTCATCAATCCATCAACGACCTTGTGCACACGACCCATCCGACCGGTACCACGAGCCGAAGGACAGCTCCCTGAACTGTCCTCAACCATCTAAAGGAAGACGATGATTTATGAAGGACAAGGGTCTCTTCCTCACAACCCTGGCCGGAGGTTGTGGGGGTCTGGGAGGTGGGAGGGGGAGTGGCTTATAGGATTCCTGTAGCCCCCTTTATACTAAAATAACAGAAAATAGAAAACAAAAGAAACTTCCTTCATCAATCCATCAACGACCGGGTGCACACGACCCATCCGACCGGTACCACGAGCCGAAGGACAGCTCCCTGAACTGTCATCAACCATATAAAGGAAGACGATGATTTATGAAGGACAAGGGTCTCTTCCTCACAACCCTGGCTGCTGGTTGTGGGGGTCTGGGGGGAGGACACCTGTGGCTTATCAAATTCTGGAAGCCCCCTTTATAATAAAATAACAGAAAATAGAAAACCCAAGAAACGTCTTTCATCCATCCATCAACGACCAGATGCATCCAACCCATCCGACCGGTACCACGAGCCGAAGGACAGCTCCCTGAACTGTCATCAACCATCTAAAGGAAGACGATGATGATTTATGAAGGACAAGGGTCTCTACGGCGGTGTCACTCCTCCTCATGCGGCCTGTTAATTGGACAATGAAGTAACAGCGGCACACTGAGGAGCCATCAATTCGAATCACTGCGCTCTCTCCTCCTGCCTGTACTATAGGAGAGGAAAGCGGAAAACGGGAATTTTTACAAACAAAAACGTAAGGAAGGAAGAAAGGATGGGGGGAAAGGAGGGGGGGGGAAAGGAGGAGGGGGGGGAAGGAGGAGGGGTGAAGAACAAAAGAAGGAAAGACGCAAAGAAGAAAGGGAACAGAGAAGGAGAGATAGAAAATATGAACAAAGGAGGAAGGAAGGCCAGAGAGCATGAGAGAGAGAAAAGAGGGAAGAAGGAAGGAGAAAATGAAGGAAGAAAGGAGGAAACAAGAAAGACAGAAAAAGATAAAGAAGGAATGAAAGAGGAAAAGAATGACAAAAGGAAAGAAGCAAAGATGGAAGGAAGAAAAGGAAGTGTGGGGGCGGGGGAGAGAAAGAGGGAGAAAGGAAGGAGAGAACTGCGAAAGAAAGGTGGGAAGGAAAGAAGGAACACAGGAGGGGAGAAAAGGAATGAGGGAAGAAAGAAAGATAGAGGAGGGAAAGCAGTCAAGAAGGAAGGAAGGGGAAAAAGGAAAGGAGGCAAGGAAGGAATTAAAAGACAAAGGGTTGAAAAGATATAGGAATGAAAAGAGAGAATGAAAGAGGAAAAGAAGGAAGGGAATGGGGAAGGAGAGAAGGAAAATATGAACAAAAGAGGGAGGGAATGAAAGAAAGAAGAAATAGAAAAAAAGAGAGAAAAGGAGGTAAAGGGAAGGAGAAAATGAAGGAAGAAAGGAGCGAAAGAAGGAGGGAACAAGAAAGACAAAAAAGAAAAAAGGAGAAAAAAGAAGGAATGAAAGAGGAAAAAGGAGGAAGAGGAAAAGAATGACAATAGGAAGGAAAGAAAGAAACAAAGAAGGAAGGAAGAAAAGGAAGTGGGTGGGGGATAAAGAGAGAGAGAAGAGGGAGGGATGAAGGAAGGAGAGAATGGTGGAAGAAAAGAAGGAACAAGGAAGGAACAGAGGAGGGGAGAAAAGATGGAAGGAAGGAAGGAAGGAAGGAAGGAAGGAAAGAAAGAAAGAAAGAGGCTGAAGGGAAGCAGATAAGAGGGGAAGGAAGGAGAAAGGAAGGAAAGAAGCAAAATATAAAAAAAAGAGGGAGTGAAGAAATGAAAGAAGGAAGGAAAGGAAGTAAGGGGGAAGAGGAAGGAAGAAGAGAATGAAGAAAGAAAGAAGGGAAAGACGGAGGGAACAAGAACAAAATAACATAGGAAGGAAACAAGTAAAAAAGGAAGGGAGAAGGGAATGAAAAAATGAACAATGGAGGGAGAGAAAAAAAGGAAGGAAAGAAAGGAAGTGGGGGAGGGGATAAAAAGAGTGAAAAGGGAAGGAGAGAATGGGGGAACAAAGATGGGCAGGAAGGAAAGAACAAAGGAGGGGAGAAAAGAGAAAAGGAATGAGGGAAGAAGGAAAGAGAGAGGAAAGAAGGAGGCAAGGAAGGAATAAAAGAGGAAGGGGAGACAAGATATAAGATGGGAAGGAAAGAAGGAATGGAATCTTATGACTATTTTAGGGCTGTGAAGTTCAAACTCTAAGTGGAATTGTTTCAGAGATAGATAGATAGATAGATAGATAGATAATAGATAGATAGATAGATAATAGATAGATAGATAGATAGATAGATAGATAATAGATAGATAGATAGATAATAGATAGATAATAGATAGATAGATAGATAGATAATAGATAGATAGATAGATAGATAGATAGATAGATATAGATAGATAGATAGATAGATAGATAGATAATAGATAGATAGATAGATAGATAGATAGATAATAGATAGATAGATAGATAGATAGATAGATAGATAGATAGATAGATAGATAGATAATAGATAGATAGATAGATAGATAGATAGATAATAGATAGATAGATAATAGATAGATAGATAGATAATAGATAGATAATAGATAGATAGATAATAGATAGATAATAGATAGATAGATAATAGATAGATAGATAGATAGATAGATAATAGATAGATAATAGATAGATAGATAGATAGATAGATAGATAGATAGATAGATAATAGATAGATAGATAGATAGATAGATAGATAGATAGATAGATAGATAATAGATAGATAGATAGATAGATAGATAGATAATAGATAGATAGATAGATAGATAGATAGATAGATAGATAGATAATAGATAATAGATAGATAGATAATAGATAGATAGATAATAGATAGATAGATAGATAGATAGATAATAGATAGATAATAGATAGATAATAGATAGATAGATAGATAATAGATAGATAGATAGATAGATAGATAATAGATAGATAGATAATAGATAATAGATAGATAGATAGATAGATAGATAATAGATAGATAGATAGATAGATAGATAGATAGATAATAGATAATAGATAGATAGATAGATAGATAGATAGATAGATAGATAGATAGATAGATAATAGATAATAGATAGATAATAGATAGATAGATAATAGATAGATAATAGATAGATAATAGATAGATAGATAGATAGATAGATAATAGATAGTAAATAGATAGATTATAGATAGATTATAGATCGATATAAAGAATCGATCGATCCAATCTTCTGTCATATCAGCAGCTCCAACGTTCATCAGAGGACAGAATACGTTTCTCTGACAACTTCATCTCCTGTGAGTACAGATCTGTGGTTGTCGGTCGGGGAAGATGGTGGCTCCTCTGGATTCGCAGCGTCTGGTGCGCCGGTACGGCGGGGTTAATTCTCTGTGTTTCGTTTATGAGATTACCTGGAAATCGGTTGCAGAGATTAGTTTCACCCGGGGAGGGAATAGACGGCAATTCCGCGTTTGTTGCCATAAAACTGGCGAAGCGGCGGGCGCGGGAAGCAATATTAGTCGGCGGTCACATCGCTCATGTCACCCCTCTGCCATCACCGCCTCGCTCCTCCTCATCCCGCTCAATCCTCCGACAATCCGCCGATCAATTCTGCCATCTAAGTGGGCAATAAAAGCCTTGGAAGGAGGATTTGTATTTATTAGAAGCCATTATTTTCCCCCACTTAGCTGCGAGCGCAAACATCTCCGAAGAAGAGAAGCAATAAAGGCGGCAGAATGACAGATCCGAGACGTCGCGCCGCCAGAGACCGCTACAATGTGTGTCAGTAAATTGTACCAACCAGAGACCGACCCTACATCATACATACTGTGGATTCATAGATGACAGCCAAATATTGTACATTGCTGCTTCACAAAGAGCAAAAGCCCAACCTCTGGCCCCTCCCCTTCAGTCTTGCACAGGTGTACTGGCTCCTCCCCTTCAGTCTTGCACAGGTGTACCGGCTCCACCCTTTCAGTCTTTCACAGGTGTACCGGCTCCTCCCATTTAGTCTTGCACAGGTGTACCTGCTCCTCCCCTTCAGTTTTGCACAGGTGTACCAGCTCCTCCCCTTCAGTCTTGCCCAGGTGTACTGGCTCCTCCCCTTCAGTCCTGCACAGGTGTACCGGCTCCTCCCCTTCAGTTTTGCATAGGTGTACCAACCCCTCCCCTTCAGTCTTGCACAGGTGTACCGGCTCCTCCCCTTCAGTCTTGCACAGGTGTACCGGCTCCTCCCCTCCAGTCTTGCATAGGTGTACTGGCTCCTCCCCTTCAGTCTTGCACAGGTGTACTGGCTCCTCCCCTTCAGTTTTGCACAGGTGTACCGGATCCTCCCTTTCAGTCTTTCACAGGTGTACCGGCTCCTCCCCTTCAGTCTTGCACAGGTGTACCAGCTCCTCCCCTTTAGTCTTGCATAGGTGTACTGGCTCCTCCCCTTCAGTCTTGCACAGGTGTACCAGCTTCTCCCCTTCAGTTTTGCACAGGTGTACCGGCTCCTACCCTTCAGTCTTGCACAGGTGTACCGGCTCCTCCCCTTCAGTCTTGCACAGGTGTACCGGCTCCTCCCTTTCAGTCTTGCACAGGTGTACCGGCTCCTCCCCTTCAGTCTTGCACAGGTGTATTGGCTCCTCCCCTTCAGTCTTGCACAGGTGTACCGGCTCTCTGATCTGATGTCATTGCATAGCATAGAGCAGAGAGCTGAGTGTAATCTGAGACCTGAGTGGAGGGAATGAACACCCCCCCGTAGACATTCCCATAGTGAAACATGCACATCTGAGGCTGTCAATCACCCGCTGTGTGCTGGAGGGGGGGGCAGGGCCATCTCCCGGGATTGCTGGTGTTGGCACAACCTGTTGGAAGTGAACGGCATAGCAGAGAGAGGAGGGAGCAGACAGAAATCACACTTGGCTCTAGACACGTGCAGTTCTTTTCCTTCCAAATTGAATTTCTGACGGATTTTCTGTTATTCGGAGATTTGGATGGATCCAAATTACAATAGTAATGAAGTTGAACAAATCTGAAATAGCGAAATGAAATTCGACCGAAGTCCGCATTCGAAAACAAATTAAAAAAAACAATTTGAATTTGAAAACAAGAATAAAATGAGATAGAACAAAAAATAAAGCAATAGAAAATGAAAGAAAATAATAGAGGGGGGGGGGGGGTTCTGAATAATACATAAAAGAATAGAACAGAACAAAACTGAATAGAAAATAAGATGAATAGAAAAGAATAGAATGGAAAATAATAAAGTAAAACAGAGCAAAATAGAACAGAAAATAAAAGAATAGAATAGAATCAATTAGAATAGAATAGAAAATAAAAGATTAGAATAGAAAAGATTGGGGGGGGATGAATAGAAAAAAGATTAGAACAGAACAAAATAGAATAGAATATAAAGAATAGAATAGAATCAATTAGAATAGAATAGAAAAGATTAGAATAAAATAGTAAATAAAAGAATAGAAAAGGTTAGAATAGAGAGTCAAAGAATAAATAGAATGGAAAAACAATAGAATAGAATAGAAATAGAAAGAATATAACTGCTTCTGACATTTGAATTTTGAATAGAATGAACTGGAAATTCGAACAGAATACATTAGAATAGAATAGATTAGAAAAGCCTAAAATACGTTACAAAAAATTGTGACGGGAGTAGCGATCAACAAAGGCAGCGCGAAAATGTTGCTGAAATTTCTGATGTGATCGTCCATCTCTTCACATCGGCCCGCAGACCATCGGAAACACACATGGATTGTGGATTAGGGATTGGAACGTTGGAATTATTTTCGAATCTGTTTGAAATTTCAAATTCGCACGAATGAAACCAATTCTGAAAAAACGAACTTTACTGATCGAACGAAAGAAAATTAGTCAAATAGCAAAATTAAACAAAAGGATTTTTTTCATTTTGCGCATGTCTACTCAGTGCTTCGGATTGCGGCAGTTGCACGCTACAGAAAGATGGGCTTTGTTCATTTTTTATGTTTTTTTCCATCCACTTTAATTTCACTTTCCTCCCCCTGCCCCCGACGCACGTCCCCAAAACGGCAGAATTTCTCTGCACTCTTCAAGTATTCCCAGAAATGTGTGGGAAATGTGCGGGAAATGTGTGGTAAATGTGCGGGAAATGTGTGGTAAATGTGCTGGAAATGTGTGGGAAATGTGCTGGAAATGTGCGGGAAATGTGTGGGAAATGTGCGGGAAATGAAGGCTCCAAAGGCCGGGTTTTATAACTCTGTATCCGGAATTTCCGGGAGGAATATCTGTCTTTAGTGAATAATCGCAGCCACCTGACCCGGTAATCGCCGGCCCCCTTGTCCGTGTCCATCGTGTATCGGCACGGGTTATTAATTCCCCCGCGAGCGCAAATATTTATGGACAACGCCGCTCCGCGCAGCCTCCTCCCCCGCCTTTGTGCGCGCCATCCGAGCTGACAGCTCCAATAACCTCCTTTTAATTAACGTAATTGTCGGCCCGGGTTCTCCGCCTCTTTCGCGTGTAATTACACGCGGCGGGGAATCTTCCAGCACTGTAAAACATCGTTCATTTATTCCATTTAAAAAAAAGAAAAAATCAAAAACAACTTTCTTGAAAAAAAAAAAACTGATGCGTGTTGAACATCCGAGTGGCGGGGCTCAACGTTCCGCCGGCGTCTCCGGGACTCTGTCATTGGACGCCCTCCATGGAGAAGACATTTCAAATATTTAATTGTTCCTCTCTCTTCCGCAGGTAATTAATTCCGTTTGGGGAGCGTTTCCTCCGCAGAGCCCTCGGCACAACCCGGCGAGGAGACGAGGATAATGGAGAGTTCATTACCACATTGGAGCCGAATCTCCTCTTCATTTACACTCCCAGAATAGATGAGTTCTCTGCTAATGGAGAGGAGATTACTTCCATTATAACACCGCAACGCCTGGGGGGACACGAGCAACTGTGCGCTGCTTGGAGGAAGTCGTCCCACCAGGTCTGCTCTGGGTACTTCTTAGTACTAGTATAGTGGGGGTAGGTTATTATTAATAATATATTCTTTATTATTATTACCAGCAGTCGTATATTATTATTATTTATTTATATGTATGTTATTTTATTATTATTATTTTATTAGAATATTATCATTATGTTATATTATTATTACCAGCAGTAGTAAATTCTTGTCATTAATATATTAGTAGTAGTAGTATAGTGGAAGTAGGTTATTATTAATGTATTATTATTAGTTATTATATGTATGTTATTTTAATATTATTATTTTGTAGCAGTAGTAGTATATATTATTATAATATTAGATTATTATTATTATTATTATTATTATGGTATTTTATTAGTAGTAGTATAGTGGTAGTTGATAATAGTACATAATTCATATTAATATATTTTTAGTAGTAGTAGTATATTATTAAAATTAATATAATTAATTTTTTATTATTTTTATTTTATTATTTTGTAGAAGTAGTAGTATATTATTATTATTTTATTAGATTATAATTGTTATTTTATTTTTTTTATTATTATTTTTATTAGTATTATTATTTTTGTAGCAAAAAGTAGTATATTATTTTTTTATTAGATTATTATTATTATTAGTATATGTATGTTATTTTTTTTTTAATATAATTTATTATTATTATAATTTTGTAGCAGTTAGTAGTAGTATATAATAGTAGTATATTATTATTTTATTAGATTATTATTATTATTATTATTATTTTTTTTTTTTTATTATTATTATTATTATTATTAGTAGTATTATTATTTTGTAGCATTTTTATATTATTATTTTTTATTAGATTATTATTTTATATGTATTTTATTTTATTATTATTATTAATTTTTTAGCAGTAGTTATTATATTATTAGTATTTAATATTATTATTTTATAAGATTATTTTTATTATTATTATTTTTATTATTATATTATATTATTATTTATAGTTTTTAGTATTTATTATTATTTTTTTTTTTTTTTTTTATTAATTTTTTTTATTTTATTTTTTAAAAATTATAGTAGGTTATTATTAATAATATATTTATTATTATTATTATTATTATTATTATTATTAAATTATTATTGAAATGTTATTTTATTATTATTATAATTTTTTATCAGTAGTTAATTAGTATATTTAATATTTTATTAATTATTTTTATTTAATTATTATTAGTTATTTTATAAAATAAATTATTAAATTGTTTTTTTTATTATTATTTAGTATAGTGGTAGTTGATAATTATTAATAATATATTATATTTTAGTAATTATTATTATCATTAATATAATTTTTTATTATTATTATTAATATTTTGTAGAAGTAGTAGTATCTTATTATTTATTTTACTAGATTATTATTATTTTTTTTTTTTTATAATTTATTATTATTTATTATTAGTATTATTATTTTGTAGCAATTTAGTATATTATTATTTTATTAGATTATTATTTATTATTATTATTATTATTATATGTATGTTATTTTTATTATTATTATAATTTTGTAAGTAGTAGTAGTAAAAGTAGTATAGTATTATTATTATTTTATTAGATTTTTAAATTATTATTATTATTATTATTATTATGTTATATTATTATTACCAGTAGTTAGTAGTATATTATTATTATTTTTATTATAAATTTTTTTAGTTATCATTATTTCTATTATTATTAGCATTTTTTTTAGTAGGTTATTATTATTAATAATATATTATTATTAATTATTATATGTTTTATTTTATTTTTAATTTTGTTTCAGTAGTAGTAGTATATTAATATTTTATTAGATTATTATTATTATTATTGTATTTTATTATTAGTAGTATAGTGGTAGTTGATAATTAATAATAATTATTTTAGTAGTAGTAGTATATTATATTATATTAATATAATTTTTATTATTATTATTATTATTTTGTAGCAGTAGTAGTATATTATTATTTTATTAGATTATTATTATTATTATTATTATTATTGTATTTTATTAGTAGTAGTATAGTGGTAGTTGATAATTAATAATAATATATTTAGTAGTAGTATATTATTATCATTAATATAATTTTTATTATTATTATTATTTTGTAGAAGTAGTAGTATCTTATTATTTTACTAGATTATTATTATTATTATGTTCTGTTTTGCAGGGAAACAAGAACCGGCACATCCCCACAGAGAGACCAGAGTTGTTACCAGATCCACCGCCCCTATATGGGAGTTCCTCCTCCCTAGGCTGTATTCAGCTCCTTTGGTAGGCACTGATCAGAAGGGAAAGTCCCGGCTGCCCCTAACAGGGACTCTCACAATGGGGGCCCATTCTACGCAGACTACACTGCTTCTACACATTATACCTTCTACTCCCACTTGCTCCTCTCCAACACCACCACCCCCGCTCCACCTATCTACCTGCCCCTTTAAGTCTGGCTAACCCTCCTCCTATCAGGCTTTGCAGGAGTAATAAGGACTGGACAGGAGGGTGGTGGGAATACGGGGTGCTGGGGAGGGATTAGACCGGGTTCACACCCAGAGAAGCTGTTTGTATAACTTTGGGAAGGAATATTCATTTCAGGAAAAGCAGATGTGTCTAGATTTGGAATTTGAACCCTTGAGAGAACTGGTT